AGCCAGCATGGGCACCGTGAAAGTGCTAGGTGATCTCGAAGGAGTGCATGGTGGCAGGCAATTCAGCTCATCTCTCATTGCCTGAAATGCTTCGGCCAGCACGCGTGTCATTTCCTGCTGCTCCTCAGTGGAGTTGGTGGAGTTGCTTAGCTACAGGAGTGCATACATATGCAAAGTTAGAGTCAAGTCAGCCACACAAAACAGTTTAGGCAGACGTGTGGGCTGAAGTGCAGCCTACTCTACAATTACATGTGAATGTGACCTAATGATAACCTACCATTTTGTAGAGGTAGGAGGCTCTTTTAAAACTGCTCTGCAATTCATTGGCAACCAGCCTGCAAGAATCCACGCTGAGAGATGTGTCTGCAAATGAGAAACCGAACTCTGTTAGTCATAGTGAGTCTTAAATGAGCTTTGCAACAAAACCAAGCAATTTTGACTGAGCATACAAAAGAGTGAAACTGAGAAGTATAAGCATAGGGATTATCACGCTTTCCGGGTTTCATGGGTGGGATTTGTCAACTTTCTGCATGTCCACTTCCGACGCAGTTCAACAATGGCTGAGACGAAGGCTATATATGTCACTCTGTTCCAATTAGTAAATCTAACCAACAATGCCAACCCTACATATTGAGTATAAGGAAGAACTGGATTCAAACTTTAAAAATAAAACAAGGTAGCGCGTTTGTTTGCAGCCGGCACTTTAGTGAATCAGACTAATTTACCAGGGATGCCGTATAAATAAACTTAGTGTAGTCCGTCATCAATTCAATGGAAGTAGCAGTGCACAAAGATCACTGAATCCGGAAGTCCTACGTATCAGCGTGATAATCCCCTATTGATAATGATTTACAGTGATTTACAGAAGTATGCCATGGATTAACATCATTTGATTTTCATGGAACAACAATCACGCTAACCCTAACTAAAACTGGAGGAAAACGATTGATCTGAAGAGAATTGTTTCAGGAAGTTATCCTAAAGATCAGAGGTTAATGATTGGTTTGGTAGGAATGTTGTTCCATGTCCATTCTTGCTCTAGTACCCCTTTTTCACAAGGCAGAGCTGGTTGGGAGCCAGAGCTACTTTCAAATCGGTTCTTTGTTTATCGACCACCAAAGCACCAGCTACGAACCATTAAAAGTGGTTCTTAAAGGGATACTCCACTTTTTTGGAAATAGGCTCATTACCACTCCCCCAGAGTTAAAAAGTTGAGTTTTAACGTTTTCGAATCAATTCAGCCGATTTTCCAATATTTAGAAGAATATCAGTATACAGACAGTTCCTGGTGTCATTGACTTCCATAGTATATTTTTTTCCTAAAATTCGAAAACGGTAAAAACTCGACTGTTTAACTCTGGGGAGTGGTAAAATGAGCCTATTTCCAAAAAAAAGTGGAGTATCCCTTTAAGTAGCACCAAATCATTGCTGGTCTAGAAGTAAGAACCGCTTACGTCAGTGGCTGGGGGCGGGGTTACCGTGACCAACAAGACGAATAGAAACTTGTGACCGGCATTTTTTTAAATAGCAGCTAATCATGCTAATAGCAGCTCGATTGTAATCTCCGTTAATGCAAGTTACGGCGAGCTACACGGACGTGCTGGATTCGCCGTGTTTGGATACCGATGTAGGTTTGCAAAGCCAGGAGCATAAATAGTAACGCAACCAACTGCCATTGTTGATGGAAGGCTTGTTCGAAATGCATCGGAGCAGAGTGGACTGATCAGAGCTGCGGGAGTGTTTGGAGAGTTTACGACTCCTTCTGCTTTTGAATCGAATCTTTTTCTAATGTTTTTTCGAATCGCTCTCGCAGTTCGAGATTCACAGTGCCGAACCATCTCAAACAAGCCTGGTGTGCTTGTGTGTGCCGCGCTAGCGTTGCTGGGCAACATGAGATGTATACATTGACGTAAGATCTGGCTCTGTGATGGCTCTCTAGCCTGTGGAAAGGCAAACCAGTTCTTTGAAAGCTCGAACCAACTCCGAACCAGCACTAGCTCTAGCTCTGAACCAGCACCTGGTTCTTGTTGGTGGAAAAGGGATATAGGAGGGTCACTTTCTTGCACAATTTAACTCCAATTCCAACCTTAATTTCAAAGACCTTTAACAGGTTCTGGTATGTTTAAAAAGGGTTGTAGCTAAACCCTAAAGGAAGGTAGACCTCCAGGAGCAGGATTAGACACCCTTGACCTAACTCAGGGAGGTCTAATCCTGCTCCTGAAGGGCCACTTTCCAAAGGAATGCAGGTCTAGCCCTAATTAAATGCACCTGAAACAGCATATCAAAGTCTTCAAGATCACTAGAATCCTCCAGGCAGGTTTAATGGAGCTAAACTCTGCAGAAAAGTACCCTAATATTAGGACAATAATCAGTTGATAGGAATATTGTTCCTTGTTATAAATATAAAATTTGATGGCAATATTTCGTTGTAGTAATGTTATTCCAACAAAGCTTATTGCATGCATGCATGACATGTACACACATTTTACACTATGAATTACAGTTGATGCTTTGAGGATCATCCATGTCTTTGGTTTAATGAAGAAAGTTTTAGCAAGTAAAATAACCCCCGGTTTCACAGACAATGCCTAAGCCTAGACTAAAATGAATGTTTGAGCAGTTTTAAATGAAAACAACTTGAACTGACATATCTTAAAATGCACATCAGTAATGTTTTTTTTTCTAAAGCATGTTTATAAAAGCTACTTAAAAGTCCTAACTAAACCTAGGCTTAATCCAAGCCCCGTCTGTGAAACCGGGCCTAAATGTGTAAACTTGGCCCATAAACTGGTTGAGTACCACTGGTTTAGAGGGCGGATGTTACAGCAAGTGTTAGTAAGGGCATGCCTCACCCTGCAGGTGGTACTGATTAATGGATGGAGAGGGTGAAGAGGAGATGAAAGAAGTGATGGAGGAGGTGGAGGATGAGCGAGGCCAAAGCCCTTTTGTAAACAAGTGTTTAGACAGCCCAAGTCGTAGCAGAATGGAAGATGGAATGAGGGATGACTGATTTCCCAGCAAACCTGAGTCTTGAGCTCCTAAGGAAGACTGTAGAAGACTTGTGCTGCACTGACTCGTGGAAGAGCCCTCAACCTCAGGGATATCCTCTTCTTTTGGCTCTGTGTGCGAGGGAAGTTCACCTTCCGTTAAGTTCGTGGGCTGGCTGGGAATAAGTACCATACTGAGCTCAATCTGGTCTGGGGTTTCAGATGGGCTCAAACCAACAGCTGTGACCGGCTGTAAGATGCTGTTGGGCAAGTGAACTGCTTCAGGAAGTGAAGGAGGAGTTGTTGGGGTCCTACTCGAGGAATCCTTTTCCTTTCGTTCAAGACTGGGGTTCTTGCTGCCCGGTGAGAGGGAAGACAATGAGAGTTTATCAGGAAGAGGATTGGGAATGTCTATATGGAGCAGGGGTCGAGCACTGCCGGTCAGTTTGACCTGGAGACCTTTAAAGGAAGAGTTTCCACTTGGGCCAGCGCTCAGTGTGGGTACGACTGCTGCATGGGGCGTGTAGGGGCCTGGAAAAGGGGATGCCAAAGTATTAAAGGAAGACACATGGTTAACAGGAGAGGTGGGCTTGCTCTGGGAGGAGCTCCGAGGGTTTGAAACGTCAGAACCTGAGCTCCTGCGTGGTTCTGAAGATCCTGTGTCTTCTCCTAGTTCCACCTCATTCAAGTTATCGCCCACTGAAACAGAGCGGGAAATCTTGGCCATAGAGCTAGTAGTAGGACTCATATAGGAACGGGATTTGGACTTCGTAGGCGTAGTGATGTCCCTGGGCAGGGTAGTGGTGGGGCTGGTGAGTGGGACGGTGGGAAGGGAACGCCGTGGTCTTTCAGAGGTCTGGGGCTGTGGGTGGACTTCCTTAGAAGGACGACTGGATATCTGGACAATATCAGCTGATCAGAAGAGGGAGGGAACAGTTGATTAATTTGAGAAAAGAAAAATCTCCAAGGAAAATATTACTTAAGATATAACTTTTTAGTTAATGGCTACACCATCAAGTAAACTTAAACTTTTCTTGAAACCAACCTAAATTAAATATATATATATATATATTTCTAAGACCTGGACATTTTCAAACTAGATTTTTCCTTCATTCCTTCATTTTCTTATGCCACTAACCCATGAATCACCCAACTAGGTTATCTTTAACCACTTTTTTTAATAAGCATTGTACAAAGCAACTTTCAGTACATCTATACAGGGACAGACTCCCTGGGGCAACTAATATAAAACAAAATCCTGTATTTTGTAGCGCAATTTCATGGATGCTTTACCATCTGAGGAGATGTTGTGGATAGATTGAGCTTTCCTCATGCCCGCAGAACTGTTGTAACTAGCGGCAGCTTTAGCAACGGGGCTGATCATTCTGCGGGAGTCCATGACAGGTGTGCGTTTCTTTTGGATTAAACGCTGACCTGTTGTCCTCTCAGAGCCCTGGGGTTCCTGCTGTTTGCTTGGACTCTTATTCTCCATGAGGGGCCGTACCTCTGAGATAAGGGGCCGCACCACTCCACTGGTGGTTTTACTGTCAGTGCTTTTGTTTGTGGGGAATGAGAATGCAGTTCTAGTAAAAAAAAAAAAAAAAGGAAGACCAAAGTCATGTTTTTCTTCTCAGAAGTCCAAGTCAAAGTTGGAAGGGATTTGACTGTCTTACCTGTTAGTGGAGTTCTGAGAAAGGAACTTCGATGACATGCTGTCAGAGATATTTGGAGTTACTCTGGTTGGACTTTCTGCCAAAAAAAAAAAATATTGAGAACTCATACTTACAATAAAGACAATTTTGTTAAGAAAATTGTGAACATGACTAACACCCTACCAGGTTTGTTGAGGTCCGACAGGTTTGCAAAATGCTTCTTTAGAAAGGCCTCCTGGTCTGGGGTCTGAGGTACAGGAGTCTGAACCTCATTCTTCCTCAAGCTATCCTCCTCTTCCTCATCAAGATCTTCCATATCCAGTTCTGATGAGTTTCCATCTACACTCAGTGGCTCAGTCGGTTCAGAGTCTACAGTGAACACATAGAAACACGCAATCCTTTATCTCATCAAGGATATGTATTGCTTTAACAAAATGGCTGTCTGTCTTCTAGTTTCATTTTCTCTACCTTCTCCAGGGTGCTCAGGGCTAGAGAGAAGACTGCTGGAATAATCCATAGAGCAGGCACTGTCTGGACTCTGCTTCTCAGAACAAGAGTTCACTTTAGCACATCTCGCTCCATGGGGCAACTTTTTCACCTGATACTCACTATATACAAACAAAGACAAGGGAGTGGACAGACATTTGAGGATCATCTCAGCAGGGTGTTTTAGATCATCGTATTTGGACTGCACAATACAAGGAATATTCCAGCCAAACATGGACATCAGTTATTCAGCCTCATGTTGTTTGAAAAACTCCATGACTTTCTTTCTTCTGTGGTAAAAGATCTTTTGAGAAATGTCTCCAATGGGCTTCAATGTTTTTGTTCCAAGCATTCCTAAAAAGTATCATCTTTTGTATTCCACAGGAGAAAGAAAGTCATGTTTGGGACTACATGGGGTGAGTAAATGACAGAATTTTCATTTTTGTGTGGATTAAACACTGACTCACTGACTATAAAAATAAATTGGTGAGAAGTTTTTTTTTTTTTTAACTAACCTGCCTGCAAGACTGATTTGATCTTCACATCCCTCAGGATACAGGACCTCTGTCTCTGGAGTTTGAGCAGACAGCTGGATGTAATGAGGACGTGTTTTATCTCCTGGTCCATTCTCTTCAGGTACCTACAGAGAATATACAAGTCAAAATGGTACAGAACAGACAAAGAGGTCTACATTGAGAAGCACACAAATAAACATTTTTTGGCATTGATTTCAGAGCAGTTTTGATTCTCATTTAACTCCTGTGTTCTACAACCTGTCGCAGAGACTACAGCATTATTTTAATGAGATTCTACTTTGGTGAATGCTGTTTTTTTAACCTTCAAATGGTCTTCGTTTCCTGTTTACACTTCTGGGCTTCGGAGTCTATACGACCCCAACAATTGATTAATTGTACAAAAAATATACATTTTTAATTTTATACATTGCATTTATACTCTAGTACTAGGCATTCATTTCTGTGTAAAAATTCTCAGATTTTAAATTTTTTTTTACATACCTTCAGAACAACCGAATCAAGCCCATTTTTTTGTGTGTGTATAGATAGATAATGTAGGAAAAGTCACAAAATCTTATTTTTTTTATTAAGTACAAGTCGATTGGGGTCGTATCAGACCCCATGACCTGATTGAGGGCTACATAAATTTGTCAATTTTATAAATTTCATGCAAAAACTAAATTGTTTTTGGTTAGTTCAAACTGCAAAATGGAGGAGATTTATCCCCAAGTCTGTTTCTGTGAGACTATATTGGACATTATATCACATTAGATACAAAGATACAAGTGTATACGTATGTTTAGCTTATTTTCATATAAAACTATAGCTAGTCGTTGAAGGATTCTGTATCTCACCCATGCAGCTATGGTCTGAAGACTGATGGTGCTGCCCAGTTCCTGGTTCCTCGGCGGTGGATGATCTTTATGAACATCATGAGTTTTGCTGGGGAAGAGAGGGAAGGAAAACGACTCTAGCTGCCTCAGGTCCAGCATGGACTTCACCTTCAGATCCATACTGCCCATTCGCCTGGACCAGCGCCGCCTTGGCCGTGGACCTGAACCCTCAACTTCACAACTGCTGGATTGCTGAGAAGAGAGAATAGGTGTGTTAAAGAGCACAGAGAAATAAACCAAATGACAGAATCAAAGTTAAAATGATGTGAAATTGTCATAAGCCCTAATTTGGAGGGTAACTGTTTCTCATGGGGAATGGATGTAAGGTATTTTCAGCATTTACAGAGGCTAGTTGGTGATTTTATTGCTGTCCAAATCCAGAATGTCAGTGTTTTTCTTCCACCACCCACGTTAAAATCCCCGGCCGAATTACCTACTGTTTTTTGACAACCACCAAGGTCGTGTGGTAATTTAATTGCCGTCCAATTCCACATATCTGAGTTTACAAGAAGAGATCACTTTGAAATTCAGTTTAAATGCTTTTTGACCACTGCGGAGCACCGTACAGTAACTGTAGCGCTTAACTGTCAATTTTATGCATTTTAAAGATGTCCACTTTTATTAATAAAATGCTAGAAAGTATTTACAAGAACAATATTTCATCACCGCTCCGCCTCAGCGAATGGGAGCTGTTAAGAACAAAAAGGAGACAGAGAAAGCAAACCAAGTAAACATTTGAAATGGGCCGTTATTGTGGCAGCAATATATGGTTAAATATAATTTTTAAATATGTATTATATACAATAATAAATAATATGCATTACAAATATAAACCAAGCAGCTTTATGTTTACCTGATGTAAATAAGAGGCTTTAACTTATTTCCTCTAATTTCCATATTTTTATAATAACATCCATCAATTTGAGATTTCATATAGCATGTCTAGCTTTCTACTTTTAAACAGGGCATTTAAACAATAAAATAATACATACAACATTATATTCCTATTATTAAATTAAATATGTATTTATTATTTTTTTATTCCAAGCACATTTTATTTACAGTACAACAGACAATCGTGCGGCTGACCACGTGACAGCGTGCTCTCAAGTTCATAGGATCACAGAACTCGCTCCTTCACTGTGAAAAAAAATCGCCATCCGAATACACGAGTTTAAAGGGATACTCCACCCATTTGCATTAAGATTTCCATTGTTAGAAACCCAGTCATACTATTGAATGGTCATGCAACACGAGACGAGAGAAATCCGCTATTCACCCTTTTCACTTCCTCCTACAATGATGCAAAAATCTTCATTTTACGTCATTGTAGGAGGAAGTGTAAGAATTGTGATGATTCCACCCTTTCAAACCCACCCATAGGTTTTCAATACATATTCATGTCTCCACTGGTGGAATTACCCTTTAACCACTGAAGTGCCATGCAAAAGTATTTTTACAGACTTCCACATGAGAAACAATTACCATTCAAATAGGGATTTAGACTTTCTTACCTTCTTCATGTGGGAATTGTGAGTATTGCGGCTTTCTTCGGATGATCCTTGTAACAGAAACAAACACTAATATTAGAAGACCGCAAAGCTTAAAATAAACATTTGGAAGAAGTCTCGCCCAATAAAATCACACAACGTGATCCAACCCAACCCAAAAGAGCCGGATGTAAAATTCAGAACTAGCCAAACCAGTTTATTAAGACTGCTGGAGACTGTCAGATGCGTTACCCGTCTCTTCGCCAGATGACAGGCGAGGAAACATCTCATCTTCATCCTCAATGCCCTCCTCTTCCTCTATGTCTTTGTCGCTGTCAGATGACATGGTGCCAATGACTGGGGCGCTGTGGATTTCTTTCCTTGTGCTGATACATACACACACACACAAAAAAAACACATTATAAAAACTCAAAACGGTGATGTGTAAGTGCAAAAACAACTAATGAGTGTGATTTGTTTTATACCCAAGTGTGTGCTGTTTATTTGGTGGGGTCTTCTGATCAGGTCTGCTGTTCTGTTTCAGGTCCGAGAGCCGTTGTCTCATTTTGATGGTTAACTCAGGACAGAGCCGCCACACAAAGATGCAGCTGAACACACATTTGATTAACATTGCAATATGATATGTCAAATATGAAGTCAAAAACAGATTCTGAGAAACATGATTTCAGACTGCCTACCTGTCTCCTGACACAGATATCAGATGCTTACAGTCATTAGTAAACTTCATTCCTGTGACAATCTCTAAAAGAGGACAACAAACACAATGCTTAGACTTGATTTCAGTTCAAAACGGAAGTTAAAACCTTTAAGGATCTTACCAGAGTGGCCAAACATGGTGGCCACACATTCTCCAGTGTAGAAGTCAAAGATGCAGATGTTTTTGTCTGAGCAGCTTGTGGCCACATAGAGACCAGAGGGATCCATCTGAACCTAATAAACACATTCAGATGGATCAATAACTGTATGACTGAGAGTAAACTAATAGACTGAACTAATATAAAGCCAAATCTCTTAATTCAGGGTCTGCCTACCTTGATAAGGGTCCCATCCTCCCCCTGCGATCCCTTGTAGACCTTCTTCTGTTTGCCATTGCAGATGTTAAAGATCCTGCAAATAAACAAGAACCAGAAACTTTCATGACTGTGACACTCGTCTGAGGGTTAGAGAGTGTGTAAAATGAAGAGGTATATTACATTACAACCGTTCTAATGTTTGGGGTCAGCGGGATTTTTATTTAGTAAATTAATACTTTTTTTGAGGGATCTTTGCCTTTAAGAAAGCATTAAATTGATAAAAAGTGACAGTAAAAACATATAACGAACGATTTCTATTATTGATAGATTTCTATACCTTTTATTCATCCAATAATCCTGAAGAAAAAAATACATCATGGTTTCCCCATCATATGAATCAGCACATATTTTAACATTGGTAATAATAAAAAATGTTTCTTGTGCAGCAAATCAGCATATTGGAATGATTTCTGAAGGATTTTTTTTTTTTTTTAAATTGTAATTATATTTATTATTACTGTTTTAAATGTACTTTTTATCAAATAAATGCAGACCCCAAACTTTTGAACAGTAGTGTAAATAATGATAGGTTTAGTTGGGAAAGCCTTGGGGGGGGGAAAACCCAAAAAACATCTAAAAGTATATAATTTGGCCATTTAAAAATCCGGAACTTCCTTTTTTGGCCTGGCAAAAGTTCTCATGTTCTGCCACATTCTATCTCAGCCACCTGGAGGCGCTATGGCTTCATCCCTCCACCTGTCATTCCTTACAGCAGATCATACAAGGCACTGGCAGCTTTGGGAGGAGCAGAACCAATGAACCCCTCAGTGCTTCACATGACTTACACGAGGAACAAAAAGAGTCTGTGCCCATTAGAGGCATTAAAAACCCAGAATGAGCTCCAGTACACAGGCATACAGCACTGGCTATTGAATCTATAGATATATTTGTATAGATCTGGCCTTCTTCTTTTAAGATCATTCACTGCCACTGCACCAAACTGCATAGAAAAGACGCTGCTTCCAGAGAGAATGAGACAAAGGCACTAAATGGTCAGCTGTATTATACACGACATTCCTGACATTTTTCTTGCCCACAGTGCAGAATGAATTTGCGACCGTCGTTTAAATGAACAAAGGAAAACAGTTGCAAGTCATGCGCTGTGCTGGTTCCTTCCTAATGTTGCCCTTTTGTGTGGGACAGCAAAGTGAGACTTACAAAACACAATGAGGAAAAGAGTGCCAACGCTGGAGAATAAAGTGCAAAACTTGAAAATGATCAAGTCAGCAGTAGGGCAAATCTCACAAAACTGGCAAGAGCATGTCCGGGTTATTTCAACAACAACAACAACAACAACGTACTGTAAACTGTATGTGTGTGTATGACAATTTAAGAAAATTTAAATTTAAGAAAATTGTTTTATATTATTACAATACAATAGTATTACAACTTAAGAAAAACTAAAATTTAAGAAAATAATTTTCTATTTAAATATATTAAAATGTAATTTACAGACATGGACAGATTTGTTGGTACCCTTCCATGAAAAAAAAAATAACACACAATTGTCTTTATGCACAGCTAACCTGCAACATGGCCTTTAAACTATTTTGTTGCACCGCCTTTAGAGGCAATCACTGCAAACAAGTGATTTCTGTAGTTCCCAATGAGACTTCTGCATCTGTCAACAGGTATTTGGCCCTCTCTGCATAAGTGTCAGCTTTGATGGGTGCCTTCTCCACACAGCAAGTTTCAACTCTTTCCATAAATGTTCGATGGGATTTAGATCAGGGTTCATAGAAGGCCACTTCAGAACAAACCAGTGTTTGTTCTTAGCCATTCTTGGGTGTTTTCAGCTCTATGTTTTGGCTCATTATCCTTGTTGAAGGACCCATGAGCTGCAACTGAGACAGAGTTTTCTGACGCTCCGTTTATCTTTCTAAAGTGGAGTCCTGCTGGGTCTTCTTCCATGGAGCCCACTGTTGCTCAAAGAGTCGGATGGTACGATCACACACTGATGAACCCAGACCTTGGAGTATTTTCTTGAGAAGTTTTCCTTGGCTCTTTGTCTACCATTCACACTATCCTTCTGTCCAATCAGAGGTCAGTTTTCCTCTTGCGGCCGCATTCAGGAAGGTTGGCTACAGTCCCGTGTCCTTTACAGTTACAAATGTTATTAAATGAGTAGTTCACTTTTAAAAAAAAACAACTTTTGCTGATAATTTACTCACCCCCATGTCATCCAAGATGTCCACGTTTTTTTCCTTCTTCAGTCGAAAAGAAATTAAGGTTTTTGATGAAAACAATCCAGGATTTTCTCCATATAATGGACTTCACTGGGAACCAAACGGTTCAAGGTCCAAATGAGAGTTTCAGTGCAGCTTCAAAGGGCTTTAAATGGTACATATCATGCTTTTAAATCATTCATTTTTACTTATAAATCATACATTTGTGGTCTATATAAAGCATAACTGCAATGCCTGGGTCTGAATTCCTCATTATTATAGCTCCACAAGCCCCTTTTCTACCCCTTTTCTGATGTGCGTCTTTGAGCGACCCGTTTCAAAGCGGCCCCTTTAAATAAAACGGAGTTGCGTCTTTCCCCGCCCGCTCTCCAGGTCGCTGAGTTCACACTCGGTTCAACACCCCGCGTTCGGCCATTATTGTAGTTTGATAAGAGATATACGATTATATACTATAGCTTCAAAGAACATTTTTAGTCACTCGTTGACAAAATGTCAGCAACGGAAGACTTGTCCATCAAGCCTTACATATTCGAGCCAGAGCGAGCGATTTGATAAAGACGACGACGAACCTGCAGAACAACGTCTTCATATGGATGCAGTGGTATGTAACGTTAAGTTAAAGGACAACTCCGGCGCAAAATGAACCTTTGGTCTAATTGCACATTGTTACCTATTCAACCGTTATCTGAGATTTTTTTTCATGATTGCCGAATCTAAATAGTTTTATCTATAAAAACAGTTTAGCCTATAATGCTAGTATAACGCTAGTCTATAGGGCATAGAGTAATGACAAATAAAAATCGCTTTTTATTACCACTAACAAGGCTCAAAATAGCCCCACACTAACACGGTAGCACAATAAGGATCCCTACATGCAAAACGAAGCATTGAGAACTTTGTCAGTGTGCATACAGTTTAATAAGAAGATATTTTATACACACAGTCAACTTCGCGAATACAGGAAGAAGCCATCTTTAAAATATAGTCTCTACCAGTCGATCTACGAACGCTGATCCAAGTGCGCTGAACTGTGCAGAATCTTATATGGTCCGTTGTTTCCGGAAGAAACACAAACACGAACCATTTTCTTCTCTTTAATATGTACATGTTGCCTACTGTTCGCGCTCACATTATCACTTTATTCACATCTCACCAGCGCACTTGGATCGGCGTTCGTAGATCGACTGGTAGAGACTATTTTTCAAAGATGGCTTCTTCCTGTATTCGCAAAGTTGACTGTGTGTATAAAATATCTTCTTATTAAACGGTATGGACACTGACAAAGTTCTCAATGCTTCGGTTTGAATTTAGGGATCCTTATTGTGCTACCGTGTTACTGTGGGGCTAATTTGAGCCTTGTTAGTGGTAATAAAAAGCGATTTTTATTTGTCATTACTCTATGCCCTATAGACTAGCGTTATACTAGCATAATAGGCTAAACTGTTTTTATAGATAAAACTATTTACATTCGGCAATCATGAAAAAAAATCTCAGATAACGGTTGACTAGGTAACAATGTGTAATTAGACCAAAGGTTCATTTTGCGCCGGAGTTGTCCTTTAACTATGTTGTGTTATTAGTGAAAGTCGACTATTTCTCTTGTTAAAACAAGCACACTGACAAGATAAATGACTACGGTCCAATCTTACCACTAAAAATCTGTATTAATAATAATATAATAACTTACGTGTAGCAAAGCATCAGAAAACACAGCAGCTAAATGAATCATTCAGACGAAGTCGATCGGCAAACCCTTCTGTATACTGGCGGAGGTTGTTGAAGTGGGAATCCTTAAAGTGCTTCAGGTCACTACATCCAACAACCAAACATTTTGACTTGCCCTCTCGTAACTTCTGCATCATTGAGCTCGGACTACAAAATCGGAGCGAGAAATAATAATGGCGGATTGCTCGAAGTGTTGGGCCGGTAGTCAATGTCCTTATTTGGCAGTTCCGCTGCAAATACGGTGACGTTATAGTTCAAAAAAACGTCATAGAGAACAGAATTGAACAGGTTGAAAAATATGACCAAAACAGAATATAAAGATATAAACGAAGCACCTGAAGAGAATAATTTCATCTTTTCTGTACTTATAAACACTCCAAATACACAACAAAATGCATTTAAGGGCTAAAAAAGCGGATTTTGCATGATATGTCCCCTTTAAACGACACCAGACGATGAATAAGGGTCTTATCTAGGACCTTTCGAGTCATGACTCGAAAAAAGATTTGTTCATTTTGATGAACGAGTTTGTACAGGAGAGTCACGAATGCTCATCACAGAATAGAGCAAGGCGAACATTTGTGCTTATAAAACTTAAAGCTTCATGTTTTAGTTTCCTTCTTTTGCCTGAAATGTGAACTGGACATGTTTTTGTGACAGTCACCCAGTTAAACAATCACAGGATGAGACAATCAGATTGATTTTGGCTGGTCAGGTGTCTCAGACAGTACAGACAGGCTGACTCAGTACGTGTGTATGCACATGGTAAATGGAACATGCTAAATGTGACAGGATTAACCAGTCGAGCCTCTAATTCCATCCTCCTGTGCAAACACCTGAGTGATAATCTGCTAACACTGCGAGCCTGGCTACAGATGACTGAAATGCCCCGTCCAGATATACATCACACTGTCGATACAATCATCCCTTCATAAATGAGTCAAAACACTGTAAAAATACAGCAATCAAAACACATTCATGTATATATAGATACAAAAACACATGGGTGCAGTGATACAAACACATTAGCAAAATTAACTGGAATTTCTTGGAAGACGGGCTTAACTAGCAGATGGACAAAAGGACAGGATTCTACAACTACTATACAAATGATAGCCAACAAGAAAACAAACAAACCTGATGCTGCGATCCTGACAGCCAACAACAGTATACTTCCTTGTGGGGTCGATGTCCATGTCATACAGAGTAGTCTTCCTCACTATGTGATGAGTACGCGTGAACTCCGTTCCCTCCTCTGTCTGTTTTGAGGCATTTAATTATTAGTTCAGCAAGAATGTAAAAAAACACTTTAGAATACTTTTCCGTCTACACGGAAACATATGAGTAACGCAATACAAAAATTCTAGCTATTATTAACGAACAACACATTCTGATTTACAAAATTAGAAAGTAATAAGATGTTTATATCAGTTCTTACCTGGCAATATTTATTTAAAGGAGTAGTTCACTTTAAAAAAAAACTTTGCTGATAATTTCCTCACCCCCATGTCATCCAAGATGTCCATGTCTTTCTTTCTTCAGTCGAAAAGAAATGAAGGTTTTTGATTAAAACATTCCAGGATTTTCTCCCTATAATGGACTTCAATGGGAACCAAACGGTTCAAGGTCCAATTGAGACTTTCAGTGCAGCTTCAAAGGGCTTTAAACGACACCAGACGATGAATAAGGGTCTTATCTAGGACTTTTCGAGTCATGACTCGAAAAAAGATTTGTTCATTTTGATGAACGAATTCGAACAGGAGAGTCACGACTCATGAACGCTCACACAGAACAGAGCAAGGCGAGCATTTGTGCTTATAAAACTTAAACTTTTTTATTTATTCTTTAAATGACTGATCGTTTCTCTAGATAAGACCCTTATTCATCGTCTGGTGTTGTTTAAAGCCATTTGAAGCTGCACTGAAACTCTCATTTGGACCTTGAACCGTTTGGTTCCCATTGAAGTCCATTATATGGAGAAAATCCTGGAATATTTTCATCAAAAACCTTCATTTCTTTTCGACTGAAGAAAGAAAGACATTTTGCTGACAAATTATCAGCAAATGTTTTTTTAAAAGTGAACTACTCTTTTAATTATGTCCATGTTTCTAGATTAATCTCAGTAGATCTCAACTCTTATACATAATTCTTTAATGTTCATTCAGAAACAGACTGGGGCTCTTCAAAGCTGTTTTCTTGGTGATCATATTAGACGTCAGAATAAAGTGCTTGTTTGTGTTTCACACTTAATCACTGGCCGTTGGTATCTCATTTGCAGGAGGGTGTTAAGTGCCAGTGTGTCTATTTTAAATCAGGTGTTCTTTGAAACACTGGCAACAGTTTCTTTAAGCCTGAGGAATCTGACAGCTCTGACTCAGGCTCCAGTTTCATCCTCACTGAACTGGATGAGAACAAATCCTGAACTGAACAGAGCTGAAAAACAACTTAATTGTCTTCAGTAGAGCTACTAATAGCTAAACTAAACTTGTTTAGGAATGAATTAACTTTACACAGTTATTGAACTGAATTGGATCAATGACACAAAATTTCGAAATTACCGAAATATCATAAATTTACAAAATTGTAAGTTGACTCAGATAGCAGAGAATAGATGGAAACATGGTATGTATAATGTTAAAAAGGGCTAAGCGCAATAAGCCATGGAAAAAAGCTCAATGCGGTACTGGCACGCACATCTCGGACAGTGTGCGATCCCCAATACGCTGATTTCATGCAGCCGCCATTTTGAAATCGAAAGTGGGGCTCCGGTGGGAAGAATATCGGAAGTACAGATAGACAACAATGTCTTGGACTACCAACCTGAAGCTGCTGCCGCGATTTAATTGGATGTTAATATCCACTATAGGATATATATATATATAGTTCGTTCCTGCTTCTTTTTTTACGTTCTGAATATATAAAAAAATAATTGATCAATTTTACTGTATATAGTCTAAAGTATGAAAGAAATGTATGTACATTTTTAGAATAACAAATTTCTACATTAAACATAACAATACGCCATCACATTCACGACTCTCCTATGATTAAAGGCGACACTTCCGGTTTTCCGCCATTTCAAAATGGCGGCTGCGTGAAATCAGCATATTCAGTTCTCTTCTGCAGCTTATATGGCCAAATGCACACAAAATTATGTTAAATTATTGCTTAAAGACATGGTATTCACGTAAATAGTCGATTATGTCTTAAGTGAACGTAAACAGTTGAGGAATAAAACGTATGTGCAACAGTATTTTGGATCTGTGCATTAGCTCTTAAAGAGACAGCAGCCTAATAAACCTGCCTTTGTCTGTGTTTTTAATGTGAATCAAACAACAAAAGACAAAGCTAAAATCACTGCTTTTGACTGAATCACTTTTATAGATGCACCACAATGGGGTGGTGATGGCGCAGTGGATAAGACACATGCCTTTGGTGTGAGAGACCCGGGTCCGAATCCACTGTGAGACACCAAGCAAGACACTTAACCCCTAGTTGCTCCAGAGGCATGCGACCTCTGACATATATAGCAATTGTAGGTCGCTTTGGATAAAAGCGTCAGCTAAATAAATGTCCGAGATGCGTGACGCTATACAAATAAAGGTGACCTGACTTGACTTCTGACCAATGAGGGAAATGCTACTTTTTAACATTAGAGAAGGCCAATAAAAATAGCAGAATTATGGCAAAGATTAGAATAAAAATATTGAAATATGACCAACTGAGTTTGACTCTCACCTTCTGTGCCGTGCGGAAGTAGATGCTCTTATCTGCACCACAACTGATCATTCTGACTTTCCCTTCATTAGCTGAAAAAACAAGAAAAGATGTCACACATGAACACTTCCAGCATTATTAAATAAAACTCGGCTAGGCTATCAAGATCTCACCAGCGAATCGGACAGCAGTGATAGAGGAAGAGTGTTCATCCAGTGTTTGCAGGAGGCCATATTCCCGATCCGCATCCAGAACGTGGATCAGTCTGTCTCTGCTGGCGGTGGCCAACAGTTTCAGCCCTAAACACACACACATAATACAGAGAGCAAAAGATACGTTCTAAAATGGAGTAAACATGCTGAATATTCAATAATTATTTTTGATCAAATAAACGCAGCATTAGTGAGCATAAGATACTTTTTTCAAAAACATTTAGTCGTGTACATGAATATGGTGTTCATTTAGTACCATCTTCTGATACCATCACCGGTATTCCCTCAGTACATTTCTGTAAGGATAAACCAGCAGAACTGCAATTCTGAAATAGTGTTAAAAGGTTCAATATCCGGTGAGACGTGTCGAGAGCGGCTCTTGCTGCGCTCCTGGGTTTGTTCTCACACGTATCACACCACAAGCTGATTCACTAACACAGTGTGTTCATGTGTGACTTCACACGCCGAAGAAAAGAATGCAAATGCCTCGTTAAGTGTGAGAACAGAACATGATATGTTTCTGCAACGCTAAGCAGAACAAAAGAGTCAAGATAAGCATTCATCAATATTCTAATGGCTTCAGAGTTTTTCAAAGCAAAAGCTGATAGAAATGCAACTTGTGAGGATACTATTCCAGATACTAACAGACCATTAGATAGAATATCTCATTTGCTTAAAGGAGCTGTATGTAAGATTGTGGCCAAAACTGGTACTGCAATCATTGTCAAATTAGGGTGTATCCCCCCTTCCCCCTTGACTCGAGGTTGCCAGATATGCTGCAGGTTCTAGCAGGAACATAAGGCGCTTTTCCACTGCATAGTACGGTACGGTTCGGTTCGGTACGGCTCACTCGTGGTGCTTTTCCACTGCATGGTACGGTACAGTACGGTTCGCTTCGGGTCGCTTTAAATGGTACCTGGTCTGTTGAGGTTCCAAGCGTACCGTACCGGTACTAAAATTTGACGTGAAACACTGCAGATCACTAATTGGTCAGACAGAATCGTCACTACCAGCGTCATTGGATTTGCGACACGATACACTTTTTTAGCAGTATTTTTGTTTTGCTGCCATCAGCCTCATTTTAAACACTTTTTTCCGTCTAGCAGTTAAAAACAACCAAATACTGAGAATCAGGAACACCATCCCCTCGATAGTCTCCATTGTTTCTGTGTTGTGGGTTTGAAAATGTGGCGCTTTTAAGATGATGTCATGGCAGTAGAGGCGCGCGCAAATAACGATCAGTCCCACACACTTTGAAGGGGTACTACTGCAATGGAAACGCAAAGCGATCCGAACTGTTCCGCGCCGAGTCGAAGCGTACTGAGCCGAACCGTACCGTACTATGCAGTGGAAAAGCGCCAATAGACTGCTACAAGAAGCTTCCAATGGCAAGTGACGAGTCCGGACTTTATTTCGGACTTTGTACAAAGTATTTCGGATTCATATCAAGTTTTTTTTTTTGGGTTTCGCAACGTTAGACATTTTTTTTATACAATTCCGACACGTTTGTATCTACAGCTGTGGTAACTAGAGAAGAGCTGGCAACCCGAATGCTGCAACACTACTGACTCTGTGATTGGTAGATCGGTGGAGGGGTGGCGCATCAGAGCGAAACACAACATGACAACATCAACACCAGTCGAGGGCTGCAACTTCACTTTTTAGATGACAATATCCTGCCGGGACTACTGTTGTCAGTGATATAAGTATTTGAAATGAACATGATTTCTTAATGTCTAGTGACACATTCATTGAAATAAATTTTTTTGGCATACAGCTCTTTAGTTGTTTTTTTTTTTTTTTTTAATTGAAATAACTGCTAACATTTAGTGCATTTGAGCAAAATAAGATTTCAAGTATCAAATCATATTTGGGACCACACTATTTACTGTTTCTTATCACAAATCTGGGATTTTTGATAAAAGTTACAGTTAAAGATTCAATCCAAGCATGTTTTGCTATTTAAATGCTTTCAGCTACTAATAAAGGCATGTCTCAGTCGCTTAAACTACAGCATATATTGAAAATAAATAAGTTTAGTACACTCTAGTTACTTTAATATACCCTTTTTATATGCATTCCCCACAATTCAGTGCAGAAAATGTCGAAATACTGTGCAGAATATGTGGAGCCATTTTTAGCTTGTTAGTGGGTGGGACCAATGGACCATTAAACTGAAAGAACCCTATCAGGAGAAGGAAGAAAGCAGGGCAGTGAGATCGTGTACCTCTATGTGTGTTCTTCTAGCAGATGTTCTGTTTCTCATCGAGCTGTACTCAGTGTCTGGCCTTGAGCCTGATATAAACCACTAGCTAAGGCAACGCAGTACAACTTCACACTTTACAGGGCATGATAATGACTCTCTAAACCTGCTCTAAAGAGCTCAAGAGCTTTACAGAACCTGAGAGGATTTCACTATTGTAGTTAGTGATGGTTAGAGGCAAGATTTTCAACATAACAAGAATACGGGCGAAAAATGTCCCATGGAGTTGCATTAAAGGATGGACCAAAGCATTGGTGTTATTGTTTACTAAAACTATTGGTTATTGAAATGAACTGAAGTAAAACGTTTTACTCAAAGTACTAAAATTACTACAGTAATACTGAAATGTTAATTATTGTCAATTAAAGTGTGGCAATTTCAAGTCCCAGGCAAAAAAGCTACAAATAAGTGAAAAAAAAAAGCAATTAAAATATTACAGCTCAACAAAATTACAAAAAAATTAATGAAACCTGAAAATATAAAAATAAAAGCTAAATAATTACAATAATAAATAAGATACATTATCACAATGGTAATACCATGCTATCCTATTTATACCATTTCACTGTACTATGGACAGTTTTTTGGAAGTGCCGACGGTTTCCAAAGTATATTATCTTGCTGTTTTGGATCAACTATTACTGGTATGTCAGTTTCCTCTAACCTTGTCACATCAGCATCTACTATCTTTAATGGACACCCTTCTTTATTTCCTTTGAATTTAAATGAACAGAGTCATTTAAAACAGAAGCTCTATCAAGAGCATCTGTGGCATGCTGTCGATTACCACAGAAAATAGTAGCATCGATAGTTGTTTTTTGTTGTTCATACGAACTGAAGCATGAGGAATTATAACTATTTTCTCTGGAAAAACGACAGCATGTCACAGATGCTTAAAGACTGACAGAGTTTAAAGCTTATTTCTGTGCCACTAGCATCACAAGAATCAACCAAACAAATGACCTGCTTTTTGTTGTCACTGCGCATTTAAACTGGGACAAGAGAAATAATATTAAAGGGGTAGCTCACTTTTAAAAAAAGTTTTGCTGATAATTTCCTCACCCCCATGTCATCCAAGATGTCCACGTCTTTCTTTCTTCAGTCGAAAAGAAATTAAGATTTTTGATGAAAACATTCCAGCATTTTTCTCCATATAATGGACTTCAATGGGAACCAAACGGTTCAAGGTCCAAAAGACACTTTCAGTACAAACTGCAAACTATTCAAAGGGCTTTAAACGATTCCAGACGATGAATAAGGGTCTTATCAAGCGAAACGATCACTCATTTAAAAAAAAAAAAAAAATCACTTTCTCCGCGTCAACTCATTTGTTTCGTTCGTTGAATGAACTAAATGACTCGGAAAAAGATTTGTTCATTTTGAACAGAAAAGTCACAAACGTGCGTCACAGTACAGAGCAAGGCGAGCATTTGAGCTTATAAAACTTGAACTTTGTTATTTATTTTTTAAATGAGCGATCCTTTCGCTTGATAAGATCCTTATTCATCGTCTGGAATCGTTTAAAGCCCTTTGAACAGTTTGCAGTTTGTACTGAAAGTGTCTTTTGGACCTTGAACCGTTTGGTTCACACTGAAGTCCATTATATGGAGAAAAATCCTGGAATGTTTTCATCAAAAATCTTAATTTCTTTTCGACTGAAGAAAGAAAGACATGGACATCTTGGATGACATGGGGGTGAGTAAATTATCAGCAAAAGTTTTTTTAAAAGTGAACTACTCTTTTAACATCGAAAACATGAAACGTATTACATTTCGAGCTGTGAAGTTTGAACTGTAAACGCTGCTGTTGGCATACGTGTGAAGTGGTGACTTCAAGGTTACGAAGCATCTGCTGAGCATCTGAGCTGGATCAGCACTTCCTCTTGACTGGGGCATTAAGCGGCCCCTCAGTGGAGGATTTAATCAGCTACAGATCTATAATGAAAAAACACGTGTTCTCAGCGTTCTCAGCACTCACCGGTCTCGGGTTTGGAGTACTCCAGACACAGGATCTCAGAGTCATGGGCCTGAACATCCAGAATTTCCTCCATGCTCTCCAAATCGTGGATTCTGGAAAACAACAGTAGTTCAGTGAGGGTCTGATTGGCAAAAACATTTTCTGAAGAAAAGTATAATGCATATATAGTCTTATACTGCATTATATATAGTCTTCGTAGAAAGGGTAACATGTTTTTCCCACATGCATTGGCACAAACACACATCGACCTTTCCTTTAAAACCTCAGAGGATCAATCAACTAAAATCAATTAGTGAAGAAGTGAAAAACAGACCTCAGCGTTCCATTGCGGTCCCCTGATGCCAGGTGCAGGCCGTCTGGGCTCACACACATGGTCCTAATGCCCGTCCGGTTCTCTGAGGTCTGAGGGTCGACCTTCTCAGAGTTACTGGAGGTGATGCAGTCCGTGTCCAGCAGGGTGGAGGTGTTGTTGTCCATATAAATGACCTTCTGGAGGTCCTTTAGTGGCGAAAGAAATGATAATCTGTGACTTGTTCATTTCATTTCATATCATTTATACAAGTCATAAAATGCATGATTGATTGTTATTCTAGATAATAAAGTAAAGTATCACAGCAAATTTAGTTTCTCAGGACTAAATTAACTATTCTGTGACGAATAACCAACTTAACTAACCACCAATGTTTGAAAATGATTGTTTCCAAATATCCTATTTTAATTTTGAACAGTATTAAATAGCTTTGTTTTGAAAAGTGTACTTGTTTTAACTTTCTTTTATAATGAATGCTATTTGATATGATATTTTGGGTCCCACTTTAGTTTGGGGAACACTGTTCACTATTAACAATGACTTTTGCCTCAATAAACTCCTAATTACTGCTTATTAATAGTTAGTAAGGTAGTTGTAAAGTTTAGGTATTGGGTAAGATTAATAGATAATGAATATGGTCATGCAGAATGAGGCTGCTTTATAAGTACTAATAAAGCCAATTATGCTAGTAATAAGCTAATGCTAATAAGCAACTAGTTAATAGCGAGAAAATTGGAACTCAAACTCGTGTTCCCATATTTTATCATCTAATGCCATGATATTCATACATTCGACGTGTGGATTAAACTTCTAAATGACTTTTGAGGCTATAGTAGCTAACGTTTGCATCAGTTCAGTAGCAAGCTAAGTATGCTGCTTGCCTTTTCAAAGAAAAATCAAAAGTTTGGGGCTGATTTGATGCTCAAGAGACATTTCTCATTATAAGTATTAATATTGAAAACAGTTGTGCTGCTTAATCCTTTGTGATTTTTTAGGACACTTAGAATAGAAAGTTAGGTAACACTTAGTTTATGGTTCAATTCTCGCTATTAAATAGTTGCTTATTACCTTGTATAATATTTTGGCTGTTTATTAGTACTTATAAAAAACACATATTAATACCTTATTCTGCCTTATAACCATATTCTACATCCCTTAAACACTCAATACCTAAACTTAAAGGGGTATGGATAAGGGTATGTTTTAGCTTACCTCAAGGGCATCCAAGATGTAGGTGTCTTTGTTTCAACAGTATTTTCAATTTTGATATTTTTAGGTCAAACCGTTCTTGTCTGTCAGTCATATAATGGAGGTCTATGGTCACCACCTCAAAGAGCATGCACAGAGAAGTCCAAATTAAACATGATTTAATGACTCGTACATGTAAGTACACATTGATGGTCTAAGACACGAAACGAGCGGTTTGTGTGAGAAAACGAAGAGTATTTATATCGTTTTTACCTCATTGTGGCTGTAACCACGGATCACTTGGACGTGGCTGTGGTTAAAAGCGATAAAAAAAGATAAATACTGTTCGTTTTCTCACACAAACTGCTCGTTTCATGTCTTAGGCCATCAATGTGTACTTACTGTACATTTTATGAGTCATTAAATCATGTTTAATTTGGACTTCTCTGTGCATGCTCTTTGAGGTGGTGACCATAGACCTCCATTATATGACTGACAGACAAGAACGGTTTGACCTAAAAATATCAAAATTGAAAATACTGTGGAAACAAAGACACCTACATCTTGGATGCCCTTGAGGTAAGCTAAAATATACCAAAAATTAATTTCAAAGTGAACTATCCCTTTAACCACTACCTTACTAACTATTAATAATCAGTAATTAGAAGTTTATTGAGGGAAAAAATGATAGTTAATAGTTAAATAATAAGGAAAATTGGACCCTAATCTAAAGTGTGATCAAAAGAACAGCATTTATCTGAAATAGAAATCCTGTGTAACACTATAAATGTCTTTACTGTCACTTTTCATCAATTTAATGTGTCTGTGCTTTAAAAAACAACAACTTTTGAATCTAAAAGACACCCTAGTAGGTTACATTTATTTCAAGTCTTGAGTTTACAAAACTCACATTGCTGATGACGTTTCGGCTGAGGGTGGTGTTCTGCGCATCGGTGTTCCATAAACGGATAGTATTGTCAGAGGAACAGCTGAGGAACGATCCGGGACACAAACGCGGCTGCTCTCCATCCTTCGTCTCTGGGTACACCTGCAGGACAAAGGAAGGCGATGATATTCAACCTGACAAAAAAACAGCATTACAATCACACAAACTCATACGATACTGTACAAATACAGGTGTATTTACTCTAGTGTGGCATTCAAAATCAGACCCAAGGATTTTGCACGAGGCGTTATGACAGATCCTCTTTATGTATACAGAGATACAGTATATTCTATAAGAAGGATCACAGTACTTTGCTTAATTGAATGTTTCTTTAATATTTCAATTATATAACAACGATTTGAGCAAAAGTCATAAGGCATTTTGCGCCATATTTTGAATATAATCACGGCTGAAGCTGTCTGTCGCATTTTGTGCAACAAAACCCTTTTGCTAACACTATATTCACAATATTTCAGTTTCTTATTGACTGATTATTCAGGCCTGATGTACTTGTGGACATATTTCAGGAACTGTGATGAGGTCACAAAATGCCAGGCAACTAAAGAAAGACACAACAAACCAAAAGGGAAGTCACTGCCATGAATCTTGTGATCTGATATGAACATACAGTCCATGACACAACCAGAAAATACAGTATATGCTGTATGTCGACAAATCCCTCAGGTTTTTAAAATGTATGTTGCATGTCACAAAGAACTAAGACACGTTAAAAGACCTTTTGTCTGGTACAAAAAGAGCAAACACTGCACATTCCTGACTGGATTACACGTATAAAACAAGGTACAACAGTAACAGGCTAGGCTGAAATCTACAGAGGGTGGGTTTCCATTAATACAATTAGTTCACATCAGACCACACAAAAATATTACAAAAACATGAGGCACAAATACGAAAGACCTGCCTCACATTATTTCAGCAGCCAAAATGTCAACACACAACACAATGAAAGGAAAAAAAACATGTGACTTCAGTCAGAAGTCTGGATACATGACTGAATTTTCTCATAACTTTAAAAGCCCTTTGATCTAATTCTTATGCTTGAAATGCTTGAAATTATTTTAGAAGGTAAATGTAAATTGTATCTATATTAATAGATTTTACAAAACGTAATAATTATTTAGTATTTGTATTTTATATATTATTTAATTTTTAAAGGTTTTATTATTTCATTTTATATTTGATTAAATTTGTTTTTTTATATATATTTTTTTATTTTATGTCATTTTATTAATACATTTGGTATTATATTTTAAATTATTTTAAATGAAATAAAATAAAATGAAATGTATTTATTATTGTATTATTGTTATTGTAATTATTTTATTTTATTCACCTGATCAGCACTGACTATCAGTCACAGCCTAGCATGAATTTATCTTATTCCTCACCTCCACGCTCCATACGCATGCCGAATGGTAGAGGGCCGAGTAAACCTTGCCCACTTTACGAAGATCACGTACATCCCACACGTACAGACTGTGATCGTTGTACACACAGGACAGCCAGCGGTTCGTGGGGTCATAGGATACGGCCACGGCGTCAGGATAGCGGACGTTTTCCTTGTAGGCGAAGAGGTGGCTGTGGAGAGATCATGATGGATTAGTGGGACAGTAAAGTCAGCTGTACAGCGAGGTCACAAAAGGTCTTCTAGACCCGCACTTAGACCACTGTATATATTCTGTAAAATGACGCATGTAAACAAGTATTTCCATCATGATCATACACAAACCATGCCCTGCATTTACAGACAAATAAAACCAAAACCTCACAAAAAAAAGAACAACTGAAAGCAATTGTTACTTTTCTGTAGTCTAAAAATATTACAGACTCAAAGAGACACGGACACATCTTAGTGTCTTCCTGAACAATATAATATATAATAGAGGTCAACTGCCATGTCTCAGCCTTGCAGAAGTGTCTTTGCATATTTATGAGCGGTGGACTAAGAGGTCTTGTGTGTTTGACAGTTTAGAGGGAAAGCAGGGAATGCTAAACAGATGTCAATGGCTAAGCCGTTTCATCTAGACTACATGAATCCGCACTGAATCTTAAAACAGACTGATATTTGCATATCTATGATGCCACACACCAGACAGAAGCTCATCCAGTAGAAAATCTCAGAAGATTTCCAAGTTAAAACATTCATCCAACTCTTTGACTTTTGACAAAGGGATTTTTCCCTGATTCTGAGCAATCCCAAATACATATAATATAGCTGCGAGCAGCGATTGCGGGCCCAAGCCGGTGGCACCGCAACCCCGCTTTGGCCCGCAATCGCTGCTCGCAGCTATATTTATATATATATATATAAAGCCGGTGGCACCACCACTTTGGTTCCTTTAGGGTTTTTCTGCACGACGTGCAAAAACGTAACCTCCGCTTCAAAACGTAACCCTCCATCAGTGGGGGCTCTGCAAAAGTGCGCATCGAGGGCACATTTCAACCACAAAGTACGCGTGAGCAACCTTCTGAAAGGTCAGGTGTACATCCAGGTCTACATCTGTCGTGTGTTTACATTATAGTATTTAGGGATGCGCCGATCCGATACTCAGAATCGGTATCGGTATTATAAGTTAAACCATTATACACTGATGAGCCAAAACATCATGAGCAGTCACAGGTGAAGCGAATATCGTTGATCATCACCTAACAAGGCCACATATTAAGGTCTATTAGGGTAGATTAGATGGCAAGCAAAAAATCTGCTTTTGTAATCAACATGTTGGATGCAGGAGAAATGGGCACGGATAAAGATCTGAGCAACTTTGACGAGGGCCAAATTGTTGACGGATTGCTCCTGGGGTGCGCTTCCCGTACAACGACATAGTTCGCTGCTTCACTTCCATAGTACGATGCATCGTTGGAAAAATCAACTAGCTAGTCACGACTGTTTCCCGAAACCCACTCTCGCAAAGTATCGTTCAACCACGTTGGTTTCGCGCGTGGTGGAGTAAGAACTACTCTTAATGAAACTGTTTGAGATCCAATTAACGCTAGATTTGTTTTATATAAATTGCAGACATGTCATCTGAGAACTATTTCTAATTGTTCTCAGTTGTTTTGCTTTATTACCAGACTCAATATTTGCCTCGTTCTTACATAGTAGAGCGCGTTCGCACATGCGCACTCTTCAAAATCGATACTTTGAATCTTTTGAAAATCTAAGACGTAAATTACATTTGTATGTATTCTAAATAAAAGGCACCGGTTGTACTGAATGTCAACTTGCTTATTTTGCCCAAGATAAAGATTTATTACATCCAAATGTCATGTAAAATAGAAACTATGCCTCTAACCACAGGTCGAGAGCTGTCGTTCAAACCACACAACTTTGCGATGCTGTTTGCGAATGTTCATTGGAACGATTGTTTCGGGAAACACGACTCGCTGAACTATGCTGATAACGACGGAACTTGCGACCATAGTTGGCTAACGATGCTTTCGGGAAACGCACCCCTGATCAGTAGTGCTGAGAATTTACCAACTGAACTGGTAAACGGCTGAACTGTGCGGTTCACACTACATGACTTGTTCTCAGTGAAATCAGGAGTGTTCAAGTTGTTTAGCTGTTCACACCACACAACACAACGTGATTGATCCACAACAGGAGGCAACTCACTACACGAGTTGACAACGCACTACATAGAGATACAACCACGATCGGATGATAAGAGCAAATCATTTGTGACTCTAATGAGAGCTGTTTCAATACTATGGTACGGTCTAAATCCTGAAAAAAATCAAATAAATAACAAGTTGACAACAACTCTGTCACCCAACGATTCTATCTTGTCTACAAACCACGTTTTGTCACGAAAAACCACGCAATAAAACGAACCAGAAATGACGCGAAACTGCATGTGCGCCAATACCCGGCGAAGAAGAGAACATAAAATAAAATAAATAAGATAAAAAAATAAAATAATAAGATTTACCCCATGACCTCAACCGATGCCTTGCTATGATTGGCTGTAGCTCATGACATCACTGAGGTTGAGTCGCACAACGGCTCTGGATATCTAGCATGCTAGATATTTTTCTGGGCTCGGTGATGTGTCTGCGAGCGTCTTCGCTGCGTTGTTGGCTCTTTCATACTAACAGATTGGCAAGCGTTCATCGCCCGCTAATCCCCCGCGGTTTGCACGCGATAACACCCTGACCTGTCGGCGAGCTCAACGATTTGCAAATCGGGCTTAAAATCTTGTAGTGTGAACTTGGCTTTAGATGCCCAAGGCTCATCGAAGCACAAGGCCAATGAAGGTTGTCCTTTCTGGTCCGAGCCAACAGAAAGTCTACTGTGGCAGAAGTCACACAAAATTGTAATGATGGTTATAAGAGGAATGTATGGGGCTCCAGTCACAGACCAATCAGAGTGCCTATTATGACCCCTGTCGAAAGTGCCAACAATGAGCATGTGAGTGTCAGAACTGGACCTTGGAGCAATGAAAGAAGGTCGTCTGCTCCGATGAGTCCTGTTTTCTGTCACATCACGTGGATAGCTATGTTTGTGTGCACCGATTACCCACGGAAATGATGGTTCTGATGGGAAACACTGGATTCGGCCATTCATGTGGATACAAATTTGACAAGTGCCACCTATCTAAAGATTGTTGCAGACCAGGTAAACCTCTTCATGACAATGGTGTTCCCTAGTGGAAGTGGCCTCTGCCACACTGCATACATTGTTCAAGAATGGTTTGAGGAGCATCATAAGGAGTTCAAGGTGCAGTCCTAGCCTTCAGTTTCACCACATCTTAATCCAATTGAGCATCTGTTGGATGTGTGGAATCAAAAAGTTTGATCCACTGCGGCTCCACCTCGCAACCTGTAGGACTTGAAGGATCTGCTGCTAATGTCTTGGTGCCAGATCCCACAGGACACCTTCAGGGGTCTTACAGAATCCACACCGCTATGGTCGGACCAACAGCATATTAGGCAGATAGTCATAATGTCTGGGCTCATCAATGTACATGGTACTTCAAGTATAATGCAAATACATTGACAAATGAGACTAAATTTTAGTGTTATTTGTTTACGAAGACTGACTAATGTGGCTCATCTTACCTGGCCTCAGTAACAGTGGAGATGTCTGTGCCCAGGCTGTGAGGGTGAGGCAGCGTACAGATAAAGTGCAGGTCAGTGGGGCTGAACGCTCTCACAGTGCCATCAGCACAACCACAGTAGATCAGATCCTCACAGACGGACAGAGACGTGGCCATACTAGTCTGAGAGAGAGAGAGAGAGAGAGAGAGAGACGGGGAATCCAATTGAATAACAGTGAAACCTCAGTGAAGCAAGTCATCACTAGGTAGGCCCACAACCATTCATTTAAAAAAATAAAAAATATGAAGGCCTAGATGTTTTATTATTATTAAATTTTGCATTGATTGTGGGGAATAAATCAATTCTTAATTTAAAACAGTAAAAAAAAACATTTTAAATTAACCAAAACATTTAAATTTTCTTATTTTATTTAGAAAGCACAGAAGGTGCAGTCCTTTAAGTGCAATCCTAGTAATTAAAACAAGTGATCAAACATGCAATGGGTGGAGGAAATGCAGAATTTTGTGAACAATGGCCAATTACATTCTCTAGAAATCGGCAGAAATGATCAAATCTGAAATGATGCGACTGTCGACTGGGCAGAAGTTGCTACCAAGTGTGTGTTGGATGAATTTTAACATGGAGACAAAATGAAAGCTCTGTGGATTTCAGCAGTTTCACTGATAATAGCATGAAAACAGGCCGCAAATAAAAGCTGATTATGAAACAGGCGGCAATAAAGAGATTAAAATGCAAAAAAAAGTGCCCGAGAAGGTTAACAGTGGGAATATGAGAGCTCATTTGTGTTTTTTCCCACTGTAAAAAAATATTTTCATGATTTGTAATCACAACATTTTTTCTTTTGTCAAATCAACTTGGATAATTTATGTAGTTCAGATAACATAATATTTTGAGTTTGTAGTGATTAAATTGTAATAACTCAATTTTTTCCATTTCAATGAACTTAAAATTTTAAGGCAACCAGGTTACTTATTTTTTAAAGTTAAACCAACAATATTTTTTGGATTTTCCTGATGGGAGAAATCTAATGTGGGATTGTAAGAGCTTCCTTTACAGACATATCATTTAATTTACAACGACAAGTTACGGACAGGGGAGAGTCTATGCTAAATAAGCTTTACGTCAAGAGACCAAAGTTCATTTTTAGATAATCAAATTGTAACTCGGGTTCTTGTAGTTGATATACCGCTGGACAGAGAGGCTTTTGTATCCTCTACCATCCGCCCTATATCCCTTTCTTTCTGGCACTCTTCAATCTCTTTCTTGTTCCTCTGTGCATTGGGCACAAGGGTCGCCACAAAAGCAGAATTGTGCAGAGCCCACCTGCTCTCACCATGACCCACTTTGACAGTCCGAGAGGAGTCAAATCGAGATCTCATATCAGCTCTAAATCATGTGTTCACATTCTGAAGGTCTTCTGAAACACCAATTTGCCTCTTCTTCTCTTTCGAGAGATACAATAGACCTTTTATTAAATAGACTTTACTACTTGATCTGATGTTTTTTTCATTTTAAGGAAGCAGTAAATTAAAACAATGAAATAAATGAAATATCATGTTGGTTTATTAATATAAATATTGTTCGATACACATTTAAAATACAGTTAAATAATGAACACTAATGATTTATAATTAATTAAAATAATTACTGTAAATACATATATATATATATATATATATATATATATATACACATATACACATCTTTACGTATACTCAATCATTATTAAACATATGTTAAATATTTTGTAAGCATATTGCTTGTTTAGTTGCGCATGGAGTGAATTTTTTTATTTGTGATAATGCACTGAAACATGTCAAATTGTGCGGACATAATTTCTTTGTATGACAGCCTTGCCAAAAATTATGAACATGCAAAAACTAGAGAGAACCAACAAAATATTAACATATCATTTTGTAGTAAATATCTGCTTTTTCTTGTGAACTTTTAGTTTTTTCTATATGCATTTTTTTGCACAGTAAAATAAAGCTTGTAGCTGTGAACAATTTTGTCAGATTAATACATTCATCCCTCATATTTAAAATATGTAAAAAAAAATATTTTCATATATTGATACTGAACCTGTTTTAAGGTTTAATCAAACATGTAGGGTCATTAAAAACAAACATTCCCTCTATACATCACTTTTGGTCACTATTGTGTGTTGAAATGAATATTAGAAAAATGTTAAAGAATAATTGTATTTATTAAAACAGACACAACACAAGCAGTGAATATAGCAAATGATGGGTATGCAAAAACAAGTGTTTTATGGGCATCGATTCTTTGTGGTGGCCTGGTCATACATCATTTGAAATGCTTTGTCTGAGAGTGATAACTGGCAATGTGGTCACACATCCAATGTACAGGTGAGCATGACTGACAGACACACTGTGACATGTCCATCAATGAGTTTTACAATGAGACGTGACAGCTGAACCCGCAGCCCTGATGTGAAACTTACTGCGAAACTGTCATTTTTCTGGACAGTGCGATAGGAGAAACAGAACAGACTAAGATTAGACGACAGCAGCAGCAGAATTGTTCATTAACACACTCCACTTAGAGAGTGTAGACAAGAGCTTTGATATATCAGAAAAAGAAAAGATCTTAAAGGGATAGCTCACCCAAAAATGAAAATTCTGTCATCATTTACCCACTCTTACTGTATGTTGTTCCAGACCTGTATGCATTTCTGTCTTAAAATATGCATTTCTGATATTTTGAAGGATGTGGATAGCCAAACAGTCGATGGACCCCATTGACTTCCATAATCTGGGGGGGAAAATACTATGGCCACTAAGTCAATGGGTCTATAAACTGTTTAGTTATCCACATTCTTCAAAATACCTTCTTTTCTGTAAGACATTCATACAGGTTTGGAACAACCTAAGGGAGAGTAAATGATGACAGAACTGTCCCTTTAACGAGGATCAAACTAAACACACAGACAAAGTTAAAAATGTGATGACTGAACTTTTTTAATAAGTCCATGTCTAAGGATCTGTTTACACGACACCATTTTCAACTAAAAACAGAAAACTTTTCCAGGGACATGACGACAGCATTTTGGAGGCCTGAAACCACAACTTTTTGAAAACTACTGTATATCGTTGTCGTCTGGAATATGTGAAAACGGCAATATATTACGTGTTCAGTCTAAAAGCGCACTTTCTTTATAAAGTGGCATCGCCATCTACTGGCCTGGCAGTAAAATACAACGTTTTAGTCGTTTTCGCACATCCGTGTGAATGGGGATTGTTTTGTCAATGTTGTTGTGAATGTCGTCTGTACGTGGGAAAAAAAGCAGAGCACAAACTTTTCCATTTTTAGTACATCATTGTCGTGTAAACGTTGCCTAAAATAGCTTCAATTTCACATTATGTTCACAAACACAATATTTAAAGGACAGTGAACTCTCTGAATTATTTTTTGTTACACCTTTCACTTCATGATTTGGATTTTATTTGAGTTTTATTTATTTTAACTAAAGTTAGAGTGTAAAATTGGTTAAAAATCAACTCTGTAAGGAAGATTTTGAATGCCATTTTCACTTTTGGAACCAAAATGTTGAGCTGTATTGCACATACTCACTCATGCATATTTGTGACAGACTACAACATCAACCAATCAGCATCTTTGTCACTCACCCTGAGCTCCACCCACTTGTCCAGCATTCTTTTGTCGTTGAACTCACAGAGCAGCCCAGACGTAGTGATGCAGAAGGTACTGCTCGCCTTCCGGCCCTTTCCACAGGCCACGTCGCTGAAGAAATTATTCCGCAGCTCTCCAAGAAGACCAGAGCGGCCCGATAACGGTACTGTGGCGTTCACCTGAGACATTTATGAGACATTCATCTAAGACCTGGCTGATATTCAGTACTGTATGAACTGAGTGTTTATGTGACATTTTCAGTTGAGGTCAGGTTTGGCGTCTCAAGTGAGAGTTAGAGACTTTGAGACGGAAAGGCAGATAGAAATATCAAAATAAGCGATATTTGGAAGAGATAAGGCTACTTGTTGTCTACCATGTTAGCAACGTACCTTGGACGACTTGGTGTGGTCAAGGTACCAGAACTTTACATGTCTGTTCCCGGCTGTAACAAAGTACGAGCTGTCATCTGAGAAAGACACAGCCATCACTTTACTGGACACCTTGTTGGAAGCAACCACAACATTTTTCTGGAAAGAAAGACAAATATTCAATTTATGATTTTTTTTGTTGTTGGGGTAATTGTTTGATTAAATTGCAACAATCATAAGGGGGAATCAGAGTTTGCAACAAGGTGGAAGAGTTTTCAAGGGCATCCAAGATGTAGCCTAGGTGTCTTTGTTTCCACAGTAGTTTCAATTTTGATATTTTTAGGTCAAACCGTTCTTGTCTGTCAGTCATATAATGGAGGTCTATGGTCACCACCTCAAAGAGCATGCACAGAGAAGTCCAAATTAAACATGATTTAATGACTCATAAAATGTACAGTAAGTACACATTGATGGCCTAAGACATGAAACGAGCAGTTTGTGTGAGAAAACGAACAGTATTTATCTTTTTTTATCGCTTTTAACCACAGCCACGTCCAAGTGATCCGTGGTTACAGCCACAATGAGGTAAAAACGATATAAATACTGTTCGTTTTCTCACACAAACCGCTCGTTTCGTGTCTTAGACCATCAATGTGTACTTACATGTACGAGTCATTAAATCATGTTTAATTTGGACTTCTCTGTGCATGCTCTTTGAGGTGGTGACCATAGACCTCCATTATATGACTGACCGACAAGAACGGTTTGACCTAAAAATATCAAAATTGAAAATACTGTGGAAACAAAGACACCTAAATCTTGGATGCCCTTGAGGTAAGTTAAAACATATCAAAAATGTATTTCAAAGTGAACTATCCCTTTAATATAGTATTATTTACCTTGAGAAAAAGCAAATCTGGTTATCTAAACAACCTATAGGATATAATAAACTAAATGAAAGCTATCTTGATTGTTTTATGACTGTATAAATATTGCTAGCCACCTTCCAGGCCCAGACGTTGACGATCATGTCGTGCTGGTAACCCACGCTGACGATATATTTACTATTGGGGGAGAAAGCCACACACGCCACGCCATATTTATGTTCCTGCAACTCTGCCACCTGTGTCCTCTCCGCCACATCCCAGACACGCACTGCCGGCATATGACCGCTCTAGAGAGCCAGAGAGAGAGAGATGGGTTATCATTTATGAGGGTTGTCAGCAAGTATCACTCTACACAAACACAAAACACAAGAGAAACATATACCAGACAAAGATATTTAGAGTTTCCAGAATACTGGAAAAAAATGTAGCATGTTTTCCACAAAAATGTAAGGGACTGGTTTCACAAGTTAAGTCAGGATTAGGCCTTAGATAAATTAGGACATTTTTTTTTAAATATGCAGTAAAAAACATTACTGGTGTGCATCTTGAGACAAAACAATGGCACTGGCATATTTTAGGTTCAAGCTCAAACAGGCATTTTAGTCCAGGACTAGGCTTAGTCTAGTTATCCCTAGACTAACTTAGTCTAGTTATGCCTTAGTCTAGTTATCCCTAACTATAACTAAGGATAGTTCACCCAAACTGAACCTCATTGGCTCTCGCGGAAGCTCAAACGTGCTGCCTAACACACGAGAATAAACTTCATTGGTTCTTTCACGTCAAGCGAACATGTTTGAGCTTCTGTTTACCACAACTGCTGTGCGAGTTGATGAATGTTTATATGTGAATAAAAGCCTAAATTCAATCTGTTCATCATATAAAGCGATTGTGTACTTTTTAGGTCAACTATCGCTTTAAGGCTTGTCTTGAGAAGCAAATCAGCATGTTAGAATGATTTCTGAAGGATCATGTGACACTGAAAACTGGAGTAATGATGCTGGAAATTCATCTTTGACACCACAGAGATAAATTACATTTTAAAATTAGGGCTGTGCAAAAATTAATTGCGATTAATCGCATTCAAAATAAAAGTCTGTGTTTACATAATATATTTGTGTGTGCTGTGTGTATAATTATTTTGTATATATAAATACATATGCATGCATGTATATATTTAAGAATTATTTGCTCTTAAATTCTGTATATATATTTATATAAATACAAAATCTATATTATATAAATATTTTATATATGAATAACACATTTTCTTAAATTTATACATGCATGTGTGTGTATTTATATGTACAAAATAATTATATACAGCACAAACAAATATATTATGTAAACACAGACTTTTATTTTGGATGCGATTAATCGCAATTAATTTTTGCACAGCCCTATTTAAAATATATTCAAACAAAAAAAAACAGTTATTTTTAATTGTAATAACATTTCAAGATATTACTGCTTTATAATAATTCAATATTACTGCTTTCAATATTATTATAGAAATTTCCTCTACTTTTAAAGCCCTTGTTTTCATGTTTCATGATGTATTGAAACTATACATTCAAAACAATCTTCACATTGTGTGCTTGTTGCTTGTTTGTGCAACACATCGAGAACTCGCAAACAGATGTCTAGACATGTAAGTTCAATGATCCCACCTTACACACCTCCAATCAAGACAGATCATGCACCGCAAACCAAACCGAGCCATTCCGATTAATCTTACACAACAGCCTGCTTTCAATGCTGCAGGAGATCGGCAGTGAGAATGTGGGTGTCAGAGGTCAAACCACAGCGAGCAGACACATGCCGATTCCAGACTGCTTCTGTCTCTTGCTTCAGGCACACTTTCTTTCTCTTCCTCCCCACATTCTCTCTTCCTTGCCCTTTCTTGGCGCTCTCGCTTTCACCTTTTTATGACAGCAGACACCGTCTGTGTGCAGGTTGGCACGGTGCCGTCTGTTGCCATGGCAGCCGGTAAGCACAAACTCACATCACTTTCACATGCTGGAGTGAGAAACTCCTCTCAAACGGAATAAGGATTACTTTTTTGCACACACACACACTAATGTACAACTACACAAACAAAATCACCCGTCCACATGATTTAGCGGATTAAGAGAAGCAGACAGGATATGTGCTCATGTTCAGCCTTGCAAACAAAGCCCAAACTGGTCAGTGTTCACACTACCGTTACCACTCATTAGTGTCATGCCAGCAGGGCAAAACTATTAACACTTTATCAATGCACGTTATTCTTAAGGGATAGACACCCAAAACATTGTTTAATTCTGTCATAATTGAATGACATTCATGACTTCCATGTGGAACATAAAATAAGATATTTTGAAGAATGTTTCAGTGTTTTTTGTTTTTGTTATCCATACAATAGAAGTCAAAGGTCACCAAAATTGTTTGGTGATAACACTTTTGTTTGGTGGTCCAATTCTTACTATAGAGTGCCGAAGTTACGACGTCACTCTGTAGGCCAAAACGCGGAAGTGAGTTAGCATTTTAGCACTCCCAGTTCCATCGCTCTAGAGCCTATGGGATTTTTGAATGGGTTTTTGCTAAATCGCCTGAAATAAGGTCTGTGGTGAACAAACAAAGCCTCTAAATATTTTCACGTTTTGATCTATGACATAGAACACACAGTTATAACCTGCTTGTGTTTTTTAAACTTTATTGTGTCTAATTATGTTTATTAAAATCATTATAGGCTTCAAAATGTATAATTTTTTAATTAACTTGTAAAGATTATCTTGCTAGACAAAACGTGTAGGGGTCACAACACACAGATCTTATTTTTTGCGATTTTCCAAAAGTCTATGGGGAAAATGCATAGCTTTTCGACCGAGGGAACCCATGCACCGCTAGCTTCCGAGTCGTCCTACAAAGTGACGTCATCACTTCGGCACTTTATTAACTAGTTGCTTATAGAGTGCCGAAGTGATGACGTCACTTTGTAGGACGACTCGGAAGCTAGCGGGGTCGTAACTTCGGCACTCTATTAGCATGAGAGAGGCTGTTTATTAGAACTTATTCTGCAAGACCATATTCTACATCCCCAATACCTAAACTTAACAACAACAACACACTAATTAAGAGCTTTGAGGCAAAAGTCATAATTAATAGTTAGATAATAGTGAGAATTGGACCCTAAAGTAAAGTGTGGCCTGTTTGGTTACCAAATGTTCCTCAAAATATCTTCTTTTGTGTTAGACAGAACACAGAAGAAAGTAAGTCAGGGAGCGACATGAAGATGCCAACTTTTATGTAGAATAAAAGTGTTCATAGTAATGGATTCATAATATAACAATTTTATTTTGAGCTTACACCCACTACATGATTTTTGACATTTTTTTACAACTAAGCAGAACTACAAAAATGTGTAGTTTTTTTTTTATTAAATGCCCACAACATTTGAGAATGGGAAGTTCATTTTCTTTCCTGGTTCGGTTGAAACACGCCCCATAATCACAGCCCAATGGAGCAGTATCAGACTCACGTTCTGACTAGAATCTGAGTATGACGACGTCAGGCTAACAAAAATGTACATTGACTAAAGAAATGTTCATGACTTTTCCATGAATTTTTCAAAAACCTGGAAAATTCACACTTTTGAAATGCCCTGATATTTCCAGCCTGTAGCACTCGATTACAATGTAATAACTTTTTCAACCACCATTTTCTACTCAGATGACACACCAAGCCTGCAGTGCACATAAAGGGGAAAATAATAATCAATAATATCAATCCATTTGACCAATCAAATGAGCCAATAAAATCCGTTTAACTTGGCAATATGTCAGATTACAGCTGTTCAATGTGTCTCCAAATACGTTATGTTGTCTTTAAACCAAATAAGTATTTTTTCTAAATACGGTTTTCTGTTATGTTTATGTTATACTGAACTTTTTTTAGCGGTTTCAATCAGTTTTATTCTGAAGGTTGTAATAACTTTGTGTCCGTGTTTCATTTCAAGCTGGACATATCTTGCATGCTTTTGCATGATTTATATGGCAGTCAAAGCAATAAATCCCTCCTAATCCAAACGTTAGTAGTGCTGCAGAATTGCGGAAGGAAAGCAATAGTCATCACATTTGTCTGTACTTGACTTGGCAACAGACAAATGACACTGATAGTTAGTCACTGCTCACAGCGATTGCGCACACTGTACACTTCGCAGGCCTGAAGGTGCAAGATACTGAACTTTATTTTCATAGCAGCCCGGCTACATCAGCATGAGATACTGATCCAGAGCCCCTGACTTCCTGTGAGGCAACCACAAAGCAAATATATTGAATACTCACCTCGCCTGTGACCACATATTTGCCATCAGGAGAGAAGGAGAGTGTAGTGATGGTCTTCCTGTGAAATGAGAGAGTGGAAGGAAGTATTTTAGACAATGTTGAAGGACATGTATCCTGATAGTTCAGAGACTTCCTCTCTGTCTGTTTTTGCGTATTACTGTTACTATTGCTTATTACAATAATTATTATGTCTGAGCAACTCTACCAGCCTTACACTACAACATTTGCTCAACCATGAGCAAAGAATTTGGGACATTATCTTAAAGTCTATCTGTGTGTGAGTCTATCATTACATTTTTCACATTTTTGGAACAGTGGTGTGCCAACTTACTTTCTTTCTTTCTTTCTTTCTTTCTTTCTTTCTTTCTTTCTTTCTTTCTTTCTTTCTTTCTTTCTTTCTTTCTTTCTTTCTTTCTTTCTTTCTTTCTTTTCTTTCTTTCTTTCTTTCTTTCTTTCTTTCTTTCTTTCTTTCTTCTGTCTTTCTTTCTTTCTTTCTTTCTTTCTTTCTTTCTTTCTTTCTTTCTTTCTTTCTTTCTAAGTCACCATGAAATCAAAATGGACAATTGTAGTTTTTTTATGGAATATTGCAGTATTTATTATAAATTATTTATCAATGCACATCTTTACATATTATATTAAATACAAATACTCTCAAAATTTCAAATTCAGTTTACTGGCACGAGGGCGGGGCAACCTGTCAGTCACATGACATCATAGCAAATAACAAACCACAACCGTCCAATCAATTCCCCATGGACAAAATCAAGTCATTCCCTACATTGTTTTTTTTTTGTCAATAAAAGCCGTTTTACTTGGATATACATCACAATAATCCATTGTAATTCTTTTTCAATGTAAACCTGTGCTAGATGGACATCTTTAACCATTGCACTTTTGTCTTTGGAAGCGTCATGCACATGCCAGGGTTCGCAAAATGCAACGCTCAAGTTAAAAGAAATAAAAAAAATCTCTAGACCTGCATTTTGCTGCCCTTCAAATATAAAAGTGCTTAAATAGACATCACTGGAATGAATGCACTAGCACACTAGTGGAGCTAATGAGCCACAGAAGGTGACATTTATCCATGTTGTGCTTGGTTAGAAAAGTATGAAAGTCCCACCTGGAGCTATTGAGGATATGATGTTGTTTGTTTTTCTTAGGGTTCAGTAGCACCACCACACACCTATAAAACGACAAAAAGAAAGGGTCAAATAATCATATTTAATTACACTTTCCAATCCAAAACAACAAAACATTGAACATTTTACTATGGTGACTGACATTCGCTCACTTTGACTACTAAATCACAAACCCAAAATTTCACTACATAAAATCATTCTTCTACCTAATTTCAGAACAAGAGGGAAAGTGCACAAATCAGACTAATTTAAAGGTATACTCCACTTTTTTTGGAAATAGACTCATTTTACGAACCCCCAAGAGTAAAACAGTTTAGTTTTACAGTTTTCGAATCCATTCAGCTGATTTTCTGATATTTCTGTCCCATTGACTTCCATAGTTGGAAAATATTTACCATGGTTTATGTTTCTGCTAAACATTCAGTAGGAGTATGATATCAAATTACTGTGGTATTACCATCTGATATGTAAGTGTACTATGGTACTTAGTACTGCATTTAGTGTGTTTTTTGGTGTTTTGAATAGGTTTTGAGCTTTTACTCTGTGTCTTTCTTCTCCCATATAAAAAGACAATCCTTTTTAAGAATGAAAAACAAACAAGCTTTTGAAAACTTTTAAATGGAAGTACAGTAGAGTTGGTCCTATAAAGACTGTCTGAGACAATGTCAGGTGGGGGAAATGACCTGCTGTATTATTTTAGACAGAAAAGGAAGGCAGTGAGACAAAACAGAACACAGAGGAAATACGTCAATAACCACTGCAGAATCCTGGGACATAGAAACACTTTTATAAAGTCGATGCTAGCCATTTGCAGATCTGATGTAGCCTACACTCAATTAAAGAATCCCGGTAAGTAAAAACTGCAAACACACAAATCTTCCCACACACACACAAAAAAAGAATGAATAAACAATAAACCAGTTTTCAGAAAAAAACAAAATCACCCTTCCATGCATTTCCTCAACTTCGTAAATGACACGAGTCAACCTCCTTTAGACACATTAATTGCAATGGAAAATTATATAAATTATAATGAAATATAAAATATTACATTTTATATCATTTATAATTGAATATAATTTATATATAGCATAAACAAATAAATAAATGATATATACATTTATCAAATCTACATATTTTATCATTTATACTTTATTTAGGGGAAATAAATAAACAAATAAACAAACAAGCAAGCAAAAAATTGCAAATAACTTTATAAAAAGTGCAAGGTTCAGGCTCTCTGCTATTTCTGCCAGTTTATGATCCATTCATATTTTGACTGGACTGCCGCTCTTTGAATACACACACAGTTTTAAGGCTCATGACATTGAACAAAACAGATATTGTTTTGTTCAAAGTATATAGTACATGAGATATCCTCAATCACACCTATATTCTGCTTTGTTTTGTCAAAGTCACATTACAGAGTTCTTGCACATGAATTTCATTATATTATATTGATTAACTTTGTTGGCATCATCAATTTCAGATATATTCTACGTTAAATTCGTCAGTTTCACATGTTTCTCAGGAAGTGGGAATAAACTAGTGTGCAAAGCGAACCAGATTTAACACAGATAATCAAACGTCTGCAGTGGGGAAACCACATCTTCAGAGTGGCTGATGTCCAGCTCTATAGGTCAATTTTAAACACAAACACACATGCACACACACACACTGCTAGAGTCTTTCTTCTGATGTCAGTAGCAGAGAGGAGCGAGACAAAGCCACACAAGCACTCAGTCTCCCCCGACCACAAGAAGAGCCGAGTTTGGAATCCGTCAAGTCAAAGCCTCCCTGTCGTCCCGCTCCGTGCTTTACGAGCACGTCTGAGAAGAGAGGGACATAACAGATGAGCTCATGCTTCAATAGCACATTAATCATGTCTCCATAAACCACCGATGCCAGAGACAGGCAAACGGACCTTCACTGTTGGCAAGTAATACCATTAATGGATCTCCTACACTATATATAAGCCACACTGCTGATGGGATTGACTGGGCTCGGATCAATGACTGCGCAAGCCTGTTGTAAGAGCGTCTGCGGCTCATCCCATTACAAAGATAAGCTGATATGAATCAGCGCACAGTCAGCAAAATATTCCTGACCTTGTATGTACGTGTCCACCCACCATTCACTCGAACATTTCATTGTCCTCAATATTGGCTTTTTTTTTTTTTTTTCAAAACAGTCGATTGGCTGTTTCTGCACAGGTTTATATCAATCTGCAGGCCAGGGAAACATAACTGTGCTTACAAGGTGCCAAGTTGTTTCAAAGTGCACTTCAGAGGAAGAACCACAGAAGTTGAGGTTTGTTGCGACACTGGATCCTTAACAAAATATTCAGTTAATTAACTATAAGTTAACAGACAAAACATTTGATTCAAAGATGTAAATGCTGTAAAACTATTGTTAATTGAGAGTTAATGTAGTTAACTGATGTTAACAAACGAAACCTCAATGCAAAGTGTTACCCAATGAACAATATTTATGAATTAACATTAGGGCTGTGAAATGATTAATCGCGATTAATCGCGTCCAAAATAAAAGTTTGTGTTTAGATAATGTATGTGGGTGCACTGTGTATAATTATTTTATATAAATGCACACACATGCTCGTATATTTAAGAAAAAAATATTAATTATATTTAAAATATTTATATTTATATAATATAAATGATATATAAATCTATATACAGTATATACATGAAAATCTTTCTTAAATATATACAAGCATATGTGTGTATTTATATATATATATATATATATATATATTATATATATAATAATTATACACAGTGCACCCACATATATTACTTAAACACAAACTTTTATTTTGGATGCGATTAATCGCGATTAATCGTTTGACAGCTGTAATTAACATACATTAACTTATACTGTAAAAATTGTTGTTGAAGAAAATTGTACAAAAAAAAATTGTAACATCATCCTAGCTCAATTAAAAAAAAACATTGAATCGTTTTGCAAATCGGGATATCTTTGAACAGTATATTCTGCTTTGTTTCAGTTTTGTTTATTGGACGGATGCAAATTCTGAACCATAAGTTTGCTGCGTGTTGATGAATTATTTTGATTTACAGAGGTCAATTTTGTAGCTATTATAAGCCAACAGCACAACTTCTTCCAAAATACTTTTTTTTCAATAGGGCAAGAAGTTTTTCCTTGAAAGGAATTAGGTTACAATAAGTCGAGCCAATGAACCTTAACAAGAGAACAAGATTGACTTTAATCCGCTAACACACCACCAAGGCATTCATTGTCTAGTTGTCTAATAAAGTCTTGAGACATGATTCTGTTTTCAAAAATAAACCACAAAAGCACCCAAAGCACAGCCTGTTTTTACAGATATCAGAAGGGACACTCTAAAAATAATTCAGTGCTTATGTTATGAGATGATTTAGGATAAACATCATTGTTTGAGCTAGTATAAACTAAAGCTTTTATTAAATCTCACTGTATTTAGTATTATTTATACTATATTGTAATATTTATTATTATTTTATTCTATTTTATTTTTAATTTTAGTAGGTAATTTTATGTACTTTTGTCATTTTTATAATTTTATTAAAAAAATATTTTTTTTTTCATTTCAGTTTTAGTTGTAATTATTGTAATAGTTTTTTTTAAGTTTTTCACCTAATATATATATATATATATATATATATATATATTTTTTTTTTACTTTATCCCAACTATAAAATACCATAAAACAATTAGTTTTTGTTAACTATTAAAACACTAATCCATTTGTTCACTCAGTCAGCCAAAACTGGTTATCTGTACTTTAACCAGAAAACAATCACAATCAATCTAGATCTTTGAAAGGACTCACATTTTACTCGATGAGTATCTAGATAAAATTTCACCACCAGAATTAACAACAACTGAAACAAAAACTATTTTTGGGTCAATATTTTTATTATAATGAGAGATGCAAGATTTGCACACATCACAACACGACTCGTCTCCTTCCAAGGGCATGCCTTGGGAAAATCATAGTAGTGTTGAACCAGGATAATAATGTAATTTCTCTCCAGTGAAATGAGGACAGAATGCACAAACTCTCCACTATCTACTCAAGTGTGACTAAAGATTCAATTCACACATGCACACACACACACACACACACACACTCTCACCACATTATTAATGGTAGATCATCACTGCGCAGTTCTTCCAGTTCTGAAGAAGTTTTCCAAAAATCTGAAGTTTTCCCACACAAAACGTCATTGTATTCATATATATTTTTTTTTTCATTTTAAACATAGGCTACACACAAAGTTAAATGAACCATACTATCCTGTAAAAAAAAACACGCAAGCCAGCAATCCTCGTGTTTTTTTACATGTGCATGTATTGGGACACTTAGAAGGGCCCACATGTGCCACCGTGTCCTCCATGCAGCCGGAAAAGGCTGATCCAGCTCATTATCTCACCGAGCAGGGAATCAAATCAGCCAAGTCGAGTGTAAAGCGCACAGATCGAACAAATGACTACCGATGTTAGGCCACCGAAACCCGCTAATGAAGTTCTCTTACGAGAGGTTCTCTCGTATTGCGTAAGCTAGCTTACGCTACGGGAAAGATTCATCTTTGCTGAGAAGTTGAAGCCAAAAAATTATTCCATAATTTTGTAATCATTGTCAACGCAGTCTCTTCTGAGGCAGACCATGAGCGGGCTAGCTAGCGGCTCATTGGTTCGCTCAGAGAGAATGCACGAACCTATGGGAGAGCGGCGCTGAGTCCGCGGCCAATGAGCGGACGGCGCTCGCTTACTGCGTCACAGCCCGCCAAAAGGGGCGTGGCTACAGTGTATAAAGGTCGCTCTCCCAGCTCGTTCGTTGATTCTTGTTCATTCAGCGAGCTACACGCATCCGCTGTTCTGGGAAGAAGCCGCCGTCGTTGAGAAGGCACCGTCTAGCGAGCTCCGGAGTCTGAGGAAGCCGGCCGTCTGCCACCTTCAGCCGCCCAGCAAGCTAGCGCCATCCGACGCGTATCCTTTCTTTATTATTCCTGCTAAAAGA